CTCCTGCATCACATTCTCCCAGCAGGTTAGAAAATATCTTTGCACCAGTTTCTGTATGCAAAAACCTGGGGGTTAACCAGGAGTTATCCAGGGGACAGAAGGGCCCTGCTGGGGCATTTTCCAACTCTGCTGCACCTCTGCTCCCCTCAGATCTGCCTGCAGAGCTCCACAGCACACCAGGCCCTTTTAGGCAGGCAATAAATAAACAAACAAACAAATTAACAAAAAGAAAAAAAGCCCAAACCAAAACTACCTCTTGAACTCAGAGTGAGGTAATTATTAACTGAAATAGTAAAAAAAATTATTATATTAGTAGTTCTGCTGGAAGATCTTAAAGGATCATAGCCGGTCAAAGAGCACAAGGAGGTGAAGAGCAGCTATAGATAATAACTTCTTTCCTCCTGGGGTTCCTCATCTGCTTATGTTCCTACTCATTAGTGTCAGAGTGGAACCAAAACCTGACTATGTTTAATCACACATGTTTACATGTGTGTAAACATCACAGGGTTTAAGGGATTAAGTACTGATGTGTGTTTAATCCCCTCAGCCACGTAGCTCCTGGCACAAGCTGAAAATCCCATCAGTGTGGGGAATATTTATTTCAGCACCTCAGAGTCTCACACAGCCACTCTTCGTTCTTGCTACTCAGAACAAAGAGAAGCCTCCCTTGTCATGCTGACATCATGAGATCTCCCTGGGATCAAAAGGTCAGGTAATGATATGACCAGAGAAACTCAGCTGACAGGCAGTCAAACCCCCTGTAGGATAAAAACAGGATTTTTAAAAACCTAAACACTGCCTTAACTGCATTCAAAATGCAATGGGCTGCAAAACAGTATTTAATTTCAGAGCATTGTTTATTATGAGTTCAAGAAAGACCAAAGAATGATGACTTTTGAAAACTCAACTCAAAATTTTCCCTGCTATATTTTAAGCATCCGAGAAACAAATTCAGTTCAACGGGATAATTTTTTCCATGTGAAAGGTTTATACTAGGACATCCACTGGCTTTCCTCTGAGTACAATTGTACACCTACAGAGGATTAATTAATAAATATGGATGACTCATACATTTTAGAAGTTCAGTGGACCAGTGTAAATCCACAATACTTTGGTAATCTCAGGCATACAGTCATTCTTCACCATGACAGCAGCCTATGAAAGGAGCTGTGAAAACCTGAGATAACAGGCCTGTGAGATAGGAATGGAGTAGCTGAAACCTTTCACATAATTTATGACTGATTTTATTGACTTTGGATTTTTTTCAGGTGTATTTGTGTAATAAAATGTATTTTATTGGTTCAATTTGAGGTAAAGTCACAGTGCATCATTTGAATATCCTCAGTCTCTTGCTGTGAAAAACATCAAAGGCTCTACCTGGTCCCCCAAACCCTGCTACCATTAAAACCAAAAGCTCCCAAATACTAAAACAAAAATAAGCAACAACAGCAACAAAAGCACACAAAAAACCCACATTAAAAAAAAAAAAAAACCAACGAAACTTAAACCCCCCAGAATATAACTTGTGAATGGAAAGGTTTTGCAACACTCAGAAATAACACACAGATCTATAGAATTGATCATTCCAAAATATTTCAATAAGGAAAAAGCTTATGCTATAGGACTCAAAAACACATAAATTTACCAAAGTGAGGAATAAAAGAAAGGTGACACCTGTCATGTTTTCTAGATGTGTTTTACTGTTTAACTTTTGGGTTCTGAGCACTCTATTGCAGGATAGAGGGCCATCACTGCAGATGGGTGCCCAGCACAGAGCATATTTGAGACACACAGATATTTCTTGCACCCTTGTTCACAAGGGAGAAATTGAAGAAATTTCTTTTTATTTGGTTTTTGGGGTTTTTTCACTCATAAAGATGGAACAGTGTTGAAAGTAGCAAGGCCTTACAGAGGTGCTTCCAGCCAGCAAACACATAATTCCCTTTCTCACCGAGGCCAGAGTAAAATCCCTCTGCAGGCAGAAGGAGTCCCTGCCTGCCCTGGCTCTCCTGCCCCACATCCCCTGCACAATGGAGGGATCCTCCACAGTGCTTGTGGTGGTTTGCTGGCAGCAGCTGTGCCTGCCTAAAGCCTGGTCCCAAAGGACATTTTGCATTGCTTGCCAGGGCAGGATGACAGCCTGAAACTCTACAAGTTTACAAAAAGCTCTTCCTACAACAAAGCCTTGACAACACCCTCAGTCACAGGCATTGTAAAAGGTTTGAGCCGTGAATTTGAGAAGGTAAAATCAGGCACAGGTGGCACACAGGTTTCCCAAATCAGCAGAGGGCACACATTGCCTTCCACAGTCCCAACCACCTGAAAACACAAGACAAACTTGGAGGACCCCCAAACTCTAAGAAGTTGATCTCATTTCAGCTTTTCAGGTCACTGGCTTTGAGAGGAATATCACTGGCCAGGACTGCTTGGAACATGCCTTGAGCTGTTTTATTTTCCAGCATCAGTCTCATTCCATGGTTATGACAATGGGAAGATGCCATCAGCTCACATCCCAGGCAGCAGACCAAGAACTTTATGTTACAACTTACTTTATAAGTTGTTTAATCAATCACACAAAGCAAAAGCACATTGACAGTAGGTCTATCCAACCACTATAAGCACATACCTTTGGTTAAAACAATGCCTGCTTATTTTGAATACAATATCTGCTTCTAAGCTTTAAAACACAATGGACAGAGCTCCATTATTAAGCTTAAAACTTCCTAATATCTTGCAAGATAAACTTTTCTGTAGCTTGGAGAGTTATTCTAGACAAGCATTAATACACAGACCATTGTTCTATTTGTCCTTGCTTTTCTACTTTTCAAATAATTTTTCTGCTGACCTGTCTCATGGCTGCTGCTTATCTCTAATCACAGTTCTACTGTCTCTGAGGCCTGCCTTTTGCAGCTTTCCCAAAACTTTCTGATATTATGGATTCCCACAAGGCAAAGCTGCAGAAGCAGCAGAAGCAGCTGGAAATACCCTGCATTGCCTTGTCCTGCATTTTCTTGTCCTGCATTGCCTTGTCCTGCACTGCCTTGTCCTGCATTTTCTTGTCCTGCACTGCCTTGTCCTGCACTGCCTTGTCCCGCATTGACAGCCTGGTGGCCTTGTTCCTTTCACACATACTGCTGTCCCAGTCTTTTTTCCTATGTGGGGTGGGAATTTCACTTGTCTGAATGAATGGGCTGGGAAGGGGAGACATGGAAACTGACAGAGTTTCTAGAGAAACACTCAGGTTCAGGTACAGTGCATTCTGCATAAACTTTTAATAAGTAGGGAAACAGGCTGGGAATATTTCAGGCTGAAATATTTGAGGCTAATGTGAAGTGGGATTAAGCAAAGAGTTTGGGGCTAAAAGGCTGATGTGAAGTGGGATTAAGCAAAGGCTGCAGGAACTGACTCACACCATGCTTAGCATTACAAGATAGTCATCTTAATCAGAACAGCTAGGGCATTTTTACAACACAATATCAATTCACTCAGTTTTTTTCCTGGAAACCATTTTCATTTTGTCATGCTGCATGTGAACAAATCTCTCCCTAGCAATTCCTCAGCCTATTTCAATCAGATTTCAAAGAAAAATGGAGGCTTTAGAGATAAAGTTTTTCTGTTTATTTCCTTAAATTTTCCATAGAAAGAAGTGAGAAATCCTGTAAGTGCCTCTGCTAAGGGAAAGGCTGGAGAGTCCCCTCATATCTGATTAAACACAACAGGCTCCACATGAAAGTAAGACTTTATAAAACTTCAAGAGGGGGAAATAGCTTTCATCACATCTCATACTGTCACCATTGTGAAAATCAGCATAGCATAAGGCATATCTTATAGAAACTGCTAAGTTTCCTTGGTTCTGGTGCTCAGCAGGTACCATGCTTGAAGGTTACTTTGTCTTGTTATACCAAGGTTAAATTGTGGTTTGAACTCCTGGTAATAGAAGCTTGCCAGCAACTATAAAGCCAACCTCCCTAATTCAGTTTTGGTTTTTTTTCTATTTGTCTCATAGTCTAAACATCTCAGGAGAAGCCACATGGAAAGTGATACAGCCTTACAATCAGAAGTCACTGCAAACTGAAAATTCCTTGTAGAATTGCACTGAAGTTAGAATTCCTCACAAGGTAAAAGATATAAACTAAAGGAGGAAAGCAGCACCAATGAATGCCTGACCATATCTGTCACACACTTAATATTTGGTTTGTTGAAGCTTTGGTGTCCAAACTGTGCAACAGAGAATCCTTACCCATCACTTTTCATCTGAAACAGAGGATTTTTACAGCTCTAAAAGCTTTGCTGTCTTCTTACAGCTCCAAATAAATGCAAGGGTGACTCTTGTGGCTCTTTCTGAATGGTAAAGACTGCAACTGGGGCTTTTGCAGCATCTTTACATTTCCAGGAGGTGAGGAAGGTGCAATGAAGAGAAAGTGAGTTGGTGGATGGTGTGATAGCCTTCATAAAGGAAAGGAGAGAATATTTTGGTACTGTTTCTTCTTGTGAGGTTGATGGATATGGTGGAGATCTGGTGAGTGGGGAGGAGGCTTCAGGAGTGAAACAACTACATGAGCTGAGGTTAGCTTAGACCAGATCCATTAGTGTGAAAAGGTAAAATCTTTTCCATCTCCCATCTTTCCCTTGACCTCCTAATGCTCTGTATGTCATGCACATTTCACCTAAGCAGATATACCATATATTCTTGTGGTGCAAATATATCATATATTCTTGTCTCAAGGTGTGGGGATTTACAGAAAGTAATACACAAATTCTCCTGAATTTGAATTCACAAAACCTAACAGAAACTGACTAGAAGAGTGTAGAGATCAAGCTCCTGTATGAAAGAACATCCATCTCTGAAGATTTTCACTGCTGACACACATATATACTGTCAAAAAAAGAAGTTGATCACATCTATTTTATGCTTTTACAACTTAAAATCCTTTTTCTATATCATTAGTCAGCCTTAATATGCAACTTTTCTTACATTTTTAAATGTATTGAGAACTTACCCATGTAGGGTTTTGTGCCAGCCATAGAAGAAGCTTTTTCTGAGCCTTTCACTATGGTTGCTACATTAAAGTCAGTGATATGAACGTGTCCTGCAATTACCAAAGTAAAAACAGAAGTTAAAATAGCACATCATACAAATATTCCTCACTTTATCTAACATTTAAGGAATAATGGAAAAAAAAACATGATTTGAAAGATATGTTACATTAATAGAGACTTAATATTAAATGTTATTCTGAACTAGGAAAAACAATTTGGAAGCACAGTGATGGAATAGTTTTCTTGTCACCCACTACCTGTCTGTGCTCCTGAACTGTTTTTGCTGATCACCCCTGAATCTTCTCATGCCATGAACAAAGACAAGAAATGGCCCACAAGAACCCATTGAAGTTGGGTTTAGCAAGTTTAACTTGAGGTTTAGCAAGTCCAAGTGTAGGGTACTGGATGGGGGCAATCTCAGACATGAACACACATTGGGAGGTATGGTAACTCATTGAGGGCAGCCCTGGGGGGAAGAACTGGGGGGTTCTGGTGGATGGAAACCTGGAGATGCCCCAGCAGCGTGCATTTGCAGAAGGCTGACCCTGTCCTGGACTGCATCAAAGGAGGCACAGCCAGCAGGCTGAGGGAGGTGATTTCTCTCTCTCTGCCTTTGAGAGACCCCCCTGGAGGGTGGTGAGACACTGGCCCAGGTTGCCCAGGGGGCTGTGGATGCCCATCCCTGGCAGTGTTCAGGCCAGGCAGGGTTGGACTCTGAGCCGTGGTCTGATTGAAGGTGTTCCTGCCCACAGCAGGAGGGTTGGAACATGATGATCTTGAAGGTCCCTTCCAACCAGAACCATTCTGTTATTCTGTGATTCTCTCTGTCTTCTCAGAAGAGTAATTAACATGCAGAGGCAGATGTGAAGCTGGGTGTGAAATTTGCCTCATCCCCAGCTACAGTCACCCCTCACATCTCAGGTACTTGTGACACTGCCTGCAATTGCATCCACTACAGGTCACCATCAGCCTTTTTTGAGTCTTCTCAGGGAAAAGAGGGAGAGGAGAAGACAAATGGCATTTTTGTCACACAATAAGTATAATATTAGATCCACAGTAGCAGAAGATGTGCATATAGCAGGAGCAGATCCCAAATCATCACTTATTTGACAGCAGGTTGCAAGATGAACAGTAAGTGGCAGAAGTCAGCCTGAGAATGTGCTTCCTGACCAGCCAGACATGACTCAAACTGCACTAATGAGGCTGAACGGCCCAAACCTTCCATTACTCTTTTCCTGGGATAGTTTATGATAAGCATGGGTTCAATAGCTCCACCACTGTGAAGTAATAGCTGTTAATCCTGATTTGTTATAGGCAGGTAAACTGAATAGAAATCCAGCTTGAAAATATGTAAAGCTTTAATTTGACAAGTCTTCTGTTAGGTTTTGTATCTTTGCTCAAGGACTAATGTTGTGGAGTGATGCAGAGGCTACTCTTGCTGTGATTACATCTGACAGTGCCATGGAGGACATGGAACTCCCTTCCCCATCTTAGCTCTGCACTCAGATCATGATTAATATATCATGTGTTGAGCTAGACTTCTGAGTGACAAATTTGTGTGGGGTATTTTTTATCAAGGTCTCAGTCTCATTCAATCTACAGAGTGGATCAGGCTTTGGGCATGTTAAGCAAGGGAGGTTTTTAATCATGTTTGCTGCCAGAGATGAGAAGAGTGTAACAATTGACTGATGGATTTCACCCTGGTGCCTGATGGAGGAAGAGCAGTCTCAACAAAATGTCATGCTGCTCCAACAATCTAACCCAGGTCCTGCTCAAGGACCACAGGAAAGGTATCAGCCAACCTCTAATTGTGCAGCTGTGTATGTGTGAACTGAAATTCTCAGAGGACCCTAATTTGGCCAGATCTGAGCTGATTTTGAAGGGGGAAGTACTTAAGAAGGTACTTCCCACTGCTAAACTTTAAGATGTTTCTCCACATGAGAGGCACAGTAGAAGTTTTCAATTAAATGGTTTGCCCACTTCTCCACAATTTTTTTGAAAAACCTGCCTGGATTTCATTAACAATTTTTTCCTAAGATGCCCAGGCCAGGAAGCCCTCTACACATGGCAGAGAAAAAGTGTGAGCCAAGGAAAGGCATCTCTTTATACAAGGTGGGAAGTGTTAGGCTGCCTTAACAAGAATCAGGGTTCACAGCCCAGCTTGACATAACAATTCCAAGGTGGTATCCTACTCTCTGCTGGCTGGAGTGTAGCATATTTGCAGTTTATTTCTGCCATCATAAAACACTATGGTTGAAGGCTTCTTGAAAATCATAACTGAAAAACATAAAGCCACCTCATGGCAGTAGTTTAAAGCAATTCTATGTACACTGTAGAATGAAAGGTTGCAAGGATCTTGGTAGCCTAATATTATCTCTCTTTTTTTGACAGATAATAGAAATAGAAATATATATGAAGTTCTGCCACTTAAATGACAGCATTGCAAGCGATGCTCCATTAGAGTGCCAGTGTCACTGTCCATTGCAAAACATCTGCTGCATCACATCCATTCAGACTGATCCAAACAGGTGATTTGCAATGAAAATTGCCTCTCCTGCAGTGCATTATTTTCTCTCCCTTTAATTAGATTTCGTGTAGCAAAACCAAAATAGCACACATGAAATGTTGTGTTCATTGTGGGGTTTTTTGTTTAAAATGCCTTTCTGGAAGGTAAGGGATGGATCATGAAGGTAGATTCTGAACACCTCCTCTGCATCCTGCTGCCCATAGAGAAACAGGCAGCTCCTGTGCACGAGGCAGGGCAGAGTTTACTGCTGGAAAAGCTGCCCCTTTGCTTTTCCCCATCACTGAGCTGCTCCACCTACGGCAAGCGAGAGACAGAGAAAACACCTCCCCAGTAGGGAGACATTGAAAAAGCTGAGGGTCTTCTGCTGACAGGAAGGTGCTGAAGGAATCTTTGAATATCTTGAATCTGGTGATTGCAAGTTATTATTCATCAAATCCTGGAATTCTAGATGTTTGGGGCTTTTCGTTTTTGTTTTGGTTTTTTGGGTTTTTTTGTTTGTTTGGTTTGGGTTTTTTTTAAGAATCTTTTAAAACATATTAAAGAAAACATTATCTTTCTTAAGGGATGGTAAACTTCTACAATTTGTTGCTCCAGGGGATTGTAAAGGCCAATATCAGCTGCAGCTTCAAGAAGGCAACTAACTCAGTAACAAGACTTTCTTCACATTCTAAATGGAATATGCAAAGATGCTCTAAAATCCTACCACAAAAAAATTGTGGGTGATAGGCAACACTGATGTCAAAGTGGCAAAAGGCATGTTCCAGAAATGTTTCCTCTTGTCACCAGTTGCAATAAAATGCTGACCATGGTCTTGGATCTGACCTAGCAGGGAGTCCTTGCTCAGTAAACCAAGCATGGATTTTGCTGAACGAAACCATGTTGTGGAAAACTTGCCTGAGAGGGGTTCAAACTCTTGCAGGCTCTTTGTAAACAGATTGTATTGATGGTGTGGTTGCTTAGCAGAAGGCTAAACCTGAATGCAAAAGTAGGGCTTGTAATTTCAAATTGTAATCTGCAGAACCACCAACAACGTTAATTTCAATGGTGCTACCAAATAGCTGTAGGAATAATATTATCGTCTCTTTAAAGAGTCAATGTATTGTTTATCACTTCTCTGTTTACCACTGCTTGTTTTACTGTGTTTAAGACATTCTATGTCTCTTTGACATCATAGTTAATAGATCATGCAAACTTTTAAAGATATCTTTAATTTCTTTGATATTTAGACAAAAATACAACATGGACCAGACTTAGTAGATTCCAGATCAAAATACTGTCACTTGAGTTATATTGTGTTAAACCATTAAAATGAAAGGAATAGAAGAGGAACCAGAATTCTATCACTGAGAGAATTCTAAAAGGCTTTTTTCTGTACAATACAATTGTAATACCTCCCCTGAAACACGAGGCAGTCCCTTAGCTGTCACTGGAATAATTCTATTTCAGATATATGTTAGCAGAACAGAGAATTACTACTAATATTAGAGATTAGTGTTAGTCATAAGAGGAAGAGCTTTCTGGGAAAGCTGAGAAAAAAACATTAAAAAGGAGCTTTATTGATTGAATTAATTTCCTTAGAGGGTCTGATTCTGGTTCAGAGAATGAACCCTGAAACCATCCCTACTTTCTCTCTCAGAGATTGGATGTGTATTCTCTCCAGGAGACCATGGAATCATCCCCTGACAGGGGCTGAACACCACTTTTAATGGCTGGTTATCCCATTCTCATGTACCATTTTGCTTTTCAGGATCATCAAACATTTATTTCCACTGATGCATCAGAACATGCATCAGATGAGCAGTCCTGAGATGTGGCTTTGATGAAACGCATATGGAAAAATTCAGACTGCCAGAATTCCTCTGCCAGAATGATTTTGAATGAGTTGCATATGTTTTTTGTGGTCTTTTTTTTTTAATTTGTAAATTAGATTGATCTTTTAAGAAAAATCTTTTGTTTTCATTACTTCTGTACTCCTGAGGTATGTCCCCTAAGCCATACAGATAAATTGCAGTGAAACTAGTTTTACTGAGCACAAATATCTATAATATGTATTACTGGTATATGCTATGAAAGCTAGTCAATTTAACTGCTTGAAGATGTAAGGTAATGTGAATGGTGTGACCCTAAATTTTTACTTCAGCCAGAATAGGTTTCTTCAATGAGGCCAAAGAAATTTGAGTCACTGAGACAAAGTCTCAGTCAGAAATGTTGTGCATATCCAATTACTTGATACTTTGTGTAAGCATAATTTGTTTAATGAACTGTAAGAAAGGCCTAGGGGTAAAGTCAAGCACATAGGAAACTGTTGTGCCATCTTAGAGGCCACAGGCTAAAATAAAGTTCCTTCCTGTACACCTGGTTAGGCTCATGTTAGGTGAATTTGTTACGCTTACTCTGTTGCCAAATATATTTGTGGTGCATATATTCAGCATATTTTTCCATTGAGTGAAATCTGATGATTTTGTTAAAATGACATTGCTACATTGCAGCTTAATCAGAGCTGTTAAATACTTCAAGAATAGCTTTCTTCTTGCAAAAGAGCTTCAGTTCTGTGAGGTAAGCCCGAGGTAATTAGCATGGAACATACACTGTCCACATTAGTGAGTTGAAGTGTATAGACCCTTTACAGGCTTCAGGGAATTCCTTCCCCAACTATGTGAGAGCTCTTTGAACCTGTTTGAACCCACGAATTGATAAATTCTGCTGACCAAGATTGGTGTGCTTGTCTGGAGAGGTCTGTTCTTTCACCCCTTGTCTGCAGGTGTGCAATGAGGGAGCAGCACTCTGCTGCTCTGCAGAAGAGAGGCCATCCCCCCCAAAATTTCCAAGCTGCCTGCAGATAACTTTGTTGCTGAATAGTTTATAATCACAAAAAATCCCCTTCATTTTGCATCATAGTGCTTACTGTAGTGTAAGTTCTTTGTGATGCCTGAGTCCCCATAGGAAAGCTCTCACAAGAGAGTTTGTTTTTTAGCCACAAGAGGCTGGTTTTGTGCACTAATTGACCTTGATGAGGGGCAGGGAGAGATAAAGGTGACTGTGCTTCCAAGGCTGTCAATTAGAGATTTAACACACTCATATTAATTTTGTTTTGCTGTTGACATCTTCAATTTACCAGGAAGATGGTAAAGGCAAGATATTTCTATTTCATGCTTGTTTGCTGATACCAGAGTCTTGGGAACATTAGCACTTATGGATCTGAAGCATTAAATTGCTGAAGTTCTAGATGGTTTAAAACTCCAATATCACTTTTAGTTTTATTAGCTTTTGTGTTCCCAGGAACAAACATCATCTATGCTGAATGTTACTTCTTTAATCAACTTTTACTTGTGTACCCAGCAGCTCTACAACAGATTTTGAAACATAATGCCATCATTGGCATAATTTCAATATTATATTTTCTCAGAGGTTTTCTGCTTTTAATCAGTTTTGGAAGTAAACTTTCCCACGGTAGCAAGCACACATCTCCTTTTTCTAGCTAGGCTTTTTCCTCTTTGTATTTCTGTTCTAACTGATACAAGATCAATGCCCTCTTTACCTACATTTCTCATGTTTTCCCTATAAACTGTTGCAAGAAGATATATGACATTTTAACTAAATACTTCTTGGAGAGAGTATATGTTTAAAATTTAAGTTTAAAAGAATCAGCTGCTTTTCTTTCATACCATATCTTTTATTTTTACGAACCTGGAATTAGTAGTAAAAGTTCAAAGCTATTTATTCTTGTCTATTCCTTTTTATGCTATTTAAGCCAGAGCTACATGTGTGGAGAGAAACTTTGCAGTCAAATTTCCAAAATCCCTATCTAGATTCTAGAAAGATAATTTTAGATATCCACATGAGAAATAGTTTGCTATGTGGAATTTCTTAGCCCTTCAGAAGTTCTAAAAGAGAAAATAAAGTGCTTGGTACTGTTCTATTGGTAAGCACCTAAAAAGGGGTTATAGTGATCCACACAATCCTGTTAATAAAATACTAACTTCTTTTTACTTAATGTCCCTGCTTATCTCAATTCATATTGAATTCTTTGAATTCAGACCCTGAAAATTTCTGCACGTTTCTTTGGCAATAGGAGGGAAAACTACAAAATTCACAAGATGGTCTGAGGGAGTTTTTTGAGAAAGCCCAGATTTAGGTAGGAATTCAACATTGGAGGTTGATTTACAAAGCACATCATAAGCATGCCACTGAGATCTCAGGAATCAGAGATTCTGAGGGAAAGCAATACTCACTTACCGTGTTCATCCAGCAGAATATTGTCAGGTTTGATGTCCCTGGAAAATAAGGAAAGGAAAGCATTACATTTTGTACCCAAAGAAAATCTGCAATTTTAAAGTTTTCCCCATTTGGATGTGAGGACTAAGTCACTTAAATCATTACAAACCCAATGAAAACCATATAATACATAAAGGCAAATTATTTTTATCTACATATTTTTGCTGCCCTGAGAAAACATGCATATTAAAGAGTCTCTCTGGGTTTCCATTTATTGTAGTTTTGTTTTCATATGGTTAGCATTGACATGGGTCTGCTTTTCAAGATTGTGTGCTTTGTTCTTTATAGCAGCAGTAAAATGAGAAGGCAGACTTGCATCTAGAAGATGCCTGATTGCTTCAGGGACTCCACATTTGACAGAAATAATTTAATTGGAAGCATAGGTGGTTTACCCTGTCCGCCAGACCCTGCTAATCTGCCATGCATCCTCACTCACACACAGCAGAGCCCTGTGATCTGTCTTGTGCTAATTGAGTATGTCCAGCAGCTCTGCTGTCACTCCCAGATCCCCACTTGGCTGTCTGTGACCAAATACCATGCTGGGGAAAGGAGCAGGGATAAGGGAAAGTGGAGATTATGACAGGCTAAAGCATCAGCTCAACTCTGCCATTCTTGGCACAAGAGAACAATATGCCCTAGAGAGTTGCACTTTCAGGATTATTTTCTGTTCACCCAAATTCATGCTGCTGTGAGGAGGGATGGAAACAACTTTTCCCCACCACTTTCAGGCATTCCCTTCCTCTTTCCTTGGCCCAGAATTACTGCCACTGGTGTGGAGCTGCTCAGGGAAAATTCATGTCTTGGCTTTGTTGGCCAGAATGGCCCTGGTGAGGCTCAGCTGGGGCTGGGTGAGCCTGATGGGACAGTGCTGGGTGGCACTGCCTCGTCACTGGCACTTGGGGTGAGCCTGATGGGACAGTGCTGGGTGGCACTGCCTTGTTTGCACTTCATGCAGGTTTGAAACCCTTTGTTCTCAGTAAGGCATTGCCAGAGTGGCAGAGCAGCAGTTGAACAACTTGAGCAACAGTTTTGGCCCTTGGGCTGAACTTTCCACTTAACCTCAAAAGGCAAGGAACCATAAATTGGCAAAATAAGCTCTTGAATGTCTGCAAATGGACTGCAAACACTCCCGCCTCAGTAATCTCTTTTAGATAAGAGATGGCTTGATTATTCCAATTTAAACATTTTTTAGGAAAGTTTTTTCCCCAATGTGTCCATAAATGAAATAATCAAAAAAGTGAAGTGTCACAAAAGGAAAATGGGTTACACCATATTATTTTTCTAAATATAAAGTAGAAGGACTTCTAAAGTCAACATTACACAGGAATAGGATAGCAAAAGCAATTATAATATATTTATTGATTGCATGATATGAACTCAGACATCATCTAAGTTCCACATCTTTATTGACAGAAGAAGGAAACCTACACTTTCCTTAGCATTCTGGATTCCATGCTTTCTAGCCCTTGCTGAGATTCATATGAAATCATGAAGTATTCTAAAATTATTTTTATAATTTGTGTAGTGGAAGCTGAGGAAACAGTATGAATAAGAAATTAGTTTGAATATTCTCTGCATATTTGGAAATAATGTAGAATGCATATATATATGCATATATATGTCTGTGTAAGGAACAGGATCTCATTATGAAGAGCTATCTGGCATGGAAATTTAAAGTTATACCAATATTTCAGTGTGAAATACTGGCTACCTATAATTGTCTGGTTCAGCAGCAGTTCTAGCTATTTGTGTAATAAAAAGAACATCAGTCCTAGAGCCTATTTCACCCAAAATCTTCGAGACTCTGAGTTCTCTTTCCTTTCCCCTGTAATCACTTGGCATATCATTTGCAACACTATAATCTTTCCTTCCCTGATTTCATATGGGTGAAGTTGTGAGAAAAACTGTAGGGATAAATAAATTTGTTTATATTATGAAACATGTCTGTGTTTTGTTTAAAATTGGAATTTTGTATTTTGTTGAATTTGGTTAAATTAGCGTAGGAGGTCCCATGCAATTCTAAATGTAATGTTTTATCTAATCTCTCAAGTGATGAGAGGGTTTTTGAAGGAGTTACTGCTCAGATGGTTTCTATATTTTCCAGTGGCAATTTTGTCTTTGGTTTCTGATAACAGTTTTGTGATAAGAGCTGGAATTGTGATTTCCTGTTGAATAGTCTTTGTGGTTGATTCATGACTTGAAAATACAATAACTTTCCATGGAAGCAAGTAAGTAAGTAATAGTTTTGACAGCTGAATTGAATATTTTAAACTTTGCCTTCCCAAATTTTAGCAAGCACAAACTGACTCTGCACTTCTCATGTGGGTAAAAAGATTGGGGTCATACACATGTACATTTGGGTCTTCTTGTGGCTTCCTGAAATCAGTGATACATTCAACAGCGCTCCAAACTCTTTTCCCCAGATTAAGAAAATGAAGAATTAGAATTGTACAGTCATTAGCACTTCACCAAGAATAAAACTGATCAAAAGGATGAATTCATCTTTATGAGCTACTGCCATGTGTATGACAATACAGCACCCAAAGATTGCTCATTACAGGACAGTGCCTTTTTTGTCATTTTTTTTTTAAAGAAGATCAGTTCAAACAATTTGAATATCTGCTATGGTATTTCATTATTAAACAGTCTATACATTTTTATAGCCACCAGAAAAGACATTGACAAATCCACTTGACAACTGTATGTATCATCAAATATATTCTTCATTCAGTTGGTGTCCGTAACGTTCAGAAAATTCAGTGGTAAAATTAGATCCGTGCTTATCCTTCCATGACTAATTCAGGCAGAGGCTGATACTTGATACAGATGTGCACAAACCACAAAGCCTTTCCCACCTGAGTCATGTTCCTCACTGTTGGCTTTGCTCATTTTGCTCCGGGGCAGGCTGTAGCTGGGGTCAGGCGCCACAGGGCGTATGGCCTTGCATACAGCAGCACAACCCCCCACTCCCTGAGGCAACCTGCTGGACTCACAGCCCTGCCTCAGACCTCAAACAGGGTATTTTAAACTGGTCTAACAGCGAGTGAAAGTCTTGGGCTATTTTAAGCCAGAAGGTAAACAAGTTTATTAAGTCAGACACTGCTGCTCTGGGGTCACACGCCGGGAGATGCGCGAGGTGCGCGGATTCGTGAGGCGGATGAGAAGGACAAGTACAATGCCACTGTGCACACAGAGTGTCACCGTGCACACAGAGTGAGTGTCACCATGCACACACAGTATGTCACTGTGCGCACAGAGTGTCACTGCGCACACAGAGTGTCACCCTGCACACAGAGTGAGTGTCACCCTGCACACAGTGTCACCATGCACACAGAGTGCCATCCTGCACACAGAGTGCCACCATGTACACACAGAGTGTCACCATGTACACACGGTGTCACCATGCACACAGAGTGCCACCATGCACACAGAGTGTCACCGTGCACACACAGTGTCACCATGCACACGCAGTGTCACCATGCATACAAGGTGTCACCATGCACACAGAGTGTCACCATGCACACACAGTGTCACCATGCACACAGAGTGTCACCATGCACACACAGTGTCATCCTGCACTCAGAGCGTCACCATGCACACACAGAGTGTCACCATGCACACAGAGTGTCACCATGCACAAGGGTGTCACCGTGCACACACAGTGTCACCATGCACACAGAGTGTCACCATGCACACACAGGGTGTCACCATGCACACACAGTGTCACCATGCACACAGAGTGTCACCATGCACACACAGGGTGTCACCATGCACACACAGTGTCACCATGCACACAGAGTGTCACCATGCACACACAGTGTCACCATGCACACACAGGGTGTCACCATGCACACAGAGTGTCACCATAAACACAGAGTGTCACCATGCACACACAGTGTCACCATGCACACAGAGTGTCACCATAAACACAGAGTGTCACCATGCTCACACAGGGTGTCACCATGCACACAGAATGTCACCATAAACACAGAGTGTCACCATGCACACACAGTGTCACCATGCACACACAGGGTGTCACCATGCACACAGAGTGTCACCATAAACACAGAGTGTCACCATGCACACAGAGTGTCACCATGCACACAGAGCATCACCATGCACACACAGGGTGTCACCATGCACACAGAGTGTCACCATGCACACACAGAGTGTCACCATGCACACACAGGGTGTCACCATGCACACACAGTGTCACCATGCACACACAGTGTCACCATGCACACAGAGTGTCACCATAAACACAGAGTGTCACCATGCACACACAGTGTCACCATGCACACAGAGTGTCACCATAAACACAGAGCATCACCATGCACACACAGGGTGTCACCATGCACACAGAGTGTCACCATGCACACACAGAGTGTCACCATGCACACAGAGTGTCACCATGCACACACAGTGTCACCATGCACACAGAGCGTCACCGTGCACACACAGTGTCACCATAAACACAGAGTGTCACCATGCACACACAGTGTCACCATGCACACAGAGTGTCACCATAAACACAGAGCATCACCATGCACACACAGGGTGTCACCATAAACACAGAGTGTCACCATGCACACACAGGGTGTCACCATGCACGCAGGGTGTGTCCTCCACCCGCTCTCTGCTGGGTGTTTGGCCCCAGTTTGCAGCGAGCACTAAAAGCTCTGCTCCCCAGAGTTGAGAGCTCTAAAGAGTGCAGAGGAGCAGGGGCACTGCTCTGCCCTTGCAGTGAGCACTGCCAGCCAGGAGCAGGGCACAGAAGGTTCAGAGGGGTCCAGGGGAAGACTTGGCAGGCCCAGGTGCATCACAATTTACTGGATGTATTCAGGACTGAGGGCTTCTGGACTCTGTTATATTTAATTTCTCTAGATAAATACTCTAATTAAATTCACTAAACCACTGTTTTAGTGAATTTAAAAGATAAATCCTCTTTAGTTAAGCAGTTTAAATTCAAACATACTGTGTAAGTGAAATTTTGGTTTGA